GTTGCATGAATTTTCAATCCATTCTGTATAGTTACTGAACTATATATTTTAACTATACTATTATTTGGATTATTTTTTCCTATTAAACCAAATATATATTCAAATATTCTAAAAAATTATTTAAACCAAAATGCAATTTTGAATTTAAATTAGGAAAATTATATTTATAACACCATGTTGTATAACACCCTGTCATATGACACTTAATTATTGTACCAGTTATAGCATTAAAGCACTATATCATGTGACTTGCAATAATATTGACCAATCAAAAATCGTACATATTCGTTACATAAACCAGTCAGACAAATTACTCCAACATGGTAAAATAGGCATAGCTAAACCACACTTGTGGCATTAATAAAAATATCTAACTATAAACTAACTCTGATCCTTATTTAAAACGATAATATCATACAGATACAGAGCTTTAGCAGTTTCTATTCATATAAACTCGCATGTACGTATGTACATATGTATAACAAAGACAAAGTTGATATTAATATTGACATTACTGTATAGTAGATAATACATATTGATTTAAAGCAGAGGTTGTTAAGCACTTTTATTAAACAATATCAATATCGATATTGATATCAGTATACATATAGTAGATATATGATCTAAGTTATCAATATAAAATGCCCTTATTAAATCAAGCATCTTCAATAACCCAGCATATGTACTTGTTGAAAAAGTTTAGAACCGATCATCTCTTTGTTATACAGTATATAATAGAAAGAACTTTGTTAATACCAATATAAAAGATAAGACTTTTTAAAAGAGAAAATTATCTAACCTCTAAGTGCAAAAAAAAAGACTATCGTTTGACTTATCTGACTTTTTATATGAATCCATTTATCCTATAATATATGAAAAAGAGCTTTGTTAGCATTCTTAATGTAAAAGTATAGCAATATACTGTATGTTATATGAACTATAATCCTTAACATAAAAGAGAAACTTCTTAAACGTCTGATAACTTGCCTATACTTTATATAGTATGAAAAAAGACCTTTATTAAAACCCGCCTAACCTAACAAAAAAAAAAAAAAACTTTGTTATATACGTAGTACCCTAATTTAAACAAGAAAGATGACTATTACGTAATAATTACTCTTATAAAGACTATATGTACTACGTATCCATTAGTTATTAACAAAGTATACATGAATATCACAAGAGAAAACTTGAAAGTTTTTTTTTAACAAGATTTTCAAGTTTTCTCTTGGTATCATTGATATAATACATATATGCATGTACCTACCGCTACTTTTATAGATTAGATTTTTTTTGTAGACATGTGTTCCAATATCTACACAGTCTTGTGCCTGCACTTGTTTTGGTCTTTTTTTTTTGTTGATACTCTTCTTGCGCACCTTTAATACAATTCTTTTTTGGAGCCCCTTTTCCAATATGATGTAGAGGATTGGCGACATCATCAATAGAAATTAGTTGATCATTTTTAGTTTTTATAGCTATAGCATTTCCCAAATTATAATTCTCTCTAAGGACTCTCATTTCTCTTTCTTTAGTTTCTTTTTCATACTGAAGAATCTTCTTTTCAATGTAACTTTTCAAAAAAGTATCCAATTCATTGTCATTCTCACCATCACCTTGTAGTGTAATAGCTCGCTTTGCGAGACTCATTGATTTGTTAAACTGAAGCTTTTTGTTTACAGATTTTTGAAAGTTTTTTTCCTGAACATTGTCGACTCTAAGTAAGTTCACATTTGTCGCATTACTTAATTGATGTGTAATCGGTGCTAATTCTGTATTTCTATTTGATGTTAAAAATGGCTCTTGAGCACGTTCAAATTCAGTCACATCATCTTTGCACCAACGAATTGGCAGCAGCATTATATGGAACCTTGCAAAATTTGATTCAAGTAACACACAAAAAAAATGTTGACATACAAGCCCGTGACTAAGCAAAAAAAGGCAAGTACATAAATGATGACCATTTTTATACAATATAACATAGTGAACAGACCTAGTCAAAATCAAACATGTAATCCTCCAAATTTCTTGAATAGAAGAATATTCATTTTCTTTAATTAAAGCTAATAAATATGATTGCGAAATATCGTAAATGTTTTCAACAAAATCGTTATTATATGTAACTTGTAAATTTAATGAATTATCAAAATCCCACGACTATAAAATAGAACTAGTTAATTAAAATAGCAAATAAATTAACCCAACTATTACCTACATACATTTAGTATTTGAGTCTGGTAGATAGTCAATTGAACTATCTGCTTTTGTTGCTCAGTTGCTAAATTTGGCATCAAATATTTATTTGTTTGCTGAACAATTTGTGGAAAAACAGATTGTAATACAAGATTATTATTGTAATTAATTCAATCCTGAGACCACAAATCAAACCATTGATTAAGATTTTCACGCTCGATACGCTGATGTATTGCTTCTATTACTTGTGATAAAGTTGATGAGCTATTTATTGCAGTTTTGATATGATTTTTAAGTTCCTCAACTCTTTGAGTTGATTGCATTCCACCAGTAAAAATTTTAAACATATAAGCGCATACTCATGATTCTTTATTTAAAAATAGCTTTTGTAGATACGGGGATGCGGCTGGATATTTATTCAAAAGGTTTGTGAACCTTGCCTCAAATACACTTTCACTCAAACTATTATGCATCAAATAAAAATCTTTAATGAAATCTGCATACTGCTCACCAAGTTTACCTCGAAGATTTTTTATAAGATTCTGACTTAAATGATACAAACAAAATAAATGTTTAGTATCCGGAAGATCATGAGCTACAACATATTTCATGGAAAGATCTTCATCTGTCATTAAAATTCTTGGTAAAATTCCAGTTGCTTTTTTTAATTGACCCATAACCCAATGAAAAGACTCAATGGTTTCATCAGGCATTAAAGTCTGTGCTGCAATTCATGTTTTATTATGATTATCAATTAAAACAAAGAGGCACAAAGGAAAATTATAATTATTTGTTTGTGCCATGTTGTCTTAAACTATAATGTCACAAAACCGAATCCATCTTTCATGTTGACTCGGGTCCATCCAAAAAATTCCACAGAGACAATTGCTAATAGAATCAATTAAGGGTTCAATATACCAATCAGGATCCTTTTCTTTATACTCATAAAGCAGCTTTAAAAGCTGAGATGCATTATTTCCTTCTACCTTATGTTCTTGCTGTAATTGGGCCACAACATTGGCAAGATCACGTGTTAAAAAAAGCTGGTCCGGGTATTTAACAGATATAAGAGACCGTATCGTTGCCAGATCACACCGACCATTTACTACCAAATGGTGAATTTCTTCATTACACTCATCAGAGAACCGGCGATTTACAGGAGCAAAAAACTCAGTATCCAGTGAAAGTTGATGCTCAACATAGTGATCATTAAAACTAGTAATGCGAACCACACTGGTTGCAAAAGACAAATTAACTTTCTAATCACAATTAAGTTTTTTAGAACCTTTATTGTGTTGATTTTGTAAGTTATTAATTTTCTTTGGTTGATACGTTCTACCAAATTCACATTTATAATACAGGTTTATTAAATGTCCATTATGATCAGTTTTACTACGTATCTTTATTGCTACAAATCCTTTTTGACGGCCATATTCAGCAATATAATGCTCTGCAATTGGCCAGTCAGGAAAGGTATCATCAACAGCAAATACAATTGGTTTTTTAATGCGAGGTAATGAACCATTAACTATAGCCAAATCTTGTCCTTTATAGGTTTCATGGGTTTTATTGATTTCATCATGTAATAATTCTTGAGATAGGTCTGCTATTTCTTGAGAGGAGTCCACTGATTCTTGAAAAGAATCTGCTAATTCATGAGCAAAATCCAATAATTCTTGGAGAAGGGATTCAAACCTAAGGCTTGATACTCCACAAATTGTTCTGAGTTAGAGGCCGAATCCATAAATCATTGTTGTTCAAAAAAGACTATAAGAATATATAAAGAAAAAAAAAGATTGAACACATATAAATGATATATTTGCAAGATACATTCATACTGTAAAAGAAAAAAAGAAATCTACTTGATACCTTGATTAAAGCAAAAAAATACTTGACAGCTTAGTAAAGGCAAAGAAGAAGAAAAGCCACCCGTAACAAAAACTACCTGGCACCTTTATAACGTAGAATATGCCACTTGAACTTTTGTAATAGTGAAAAACCCCATTAATAAGAAGTTCAATTAAATACTGTTTTAACAAGCACTATTATAAATACAAAACTACCTAAGATCTAATTAAAGTGAAAGGAACCAAACACCTTGAAAAAAAGAAAGAGCTCATGAAGTACTTTCGTAAAGCAAGATAACAGTAAAATTAAGAAGTGCCGTTAAAGAAGTTCAGTTAGTTACCTAAAAATAAAGACCATCTAATGCTTACCTAAGACCTGACTAAAGCAAGAGAACCACCTGGTACTTTGTAAAAAAAGAAAGAGCTACACAACCCTTCGCAAAGTAAAAAGACACCTGGAAGTTTGTAAAAGTATAAAGTGCCATTAAAGAAAATCAGTTATCTACTATTTATTGAAACAATAAAAAAAGACTATCTGACATCTGATTAACTACCCAACACCTTGTAAAAGAAAGAGACACCTGGAAGTTTGAGGTGCCGTTAAAGAAATTCAGTTACCTATTATTCATTGAAGCAAAAAAAAAAGCTTAATTAAAGTGAAAAGAACTACCCGACACCTTGTAAAGGAAAGAGAGACCTTCGTAGAGCGAAAAAACACCTAGAATTTTATAAAGCAGCAAAGTTAAAGGAATTCAGTTACTTACTTTTTTATAACAAAAAATTAGCCAGCTAATGTCTTAATTGAAGTGAAAAAAACCACTCATACCTTTATTAATGTAAGAAAAGCTACCTGACACTTTGTAAATAGTGAAAGCCACCTGACACCTTGTAAATAGCAAATTCACCTAATGCCTTTGTAAAAGTGAAAAAAAGCTATTTATAGGTGATCAACAAAATTTATTTATATGGGGGGAGTCAATAGAATCCAGGCAAATTGTTTCTATGTAAATTTTTTTTAGACTTTAAATTAAAATATCTCAACAA